AGGAGCCATCGGTGTAGAGGGTCCACCATTCGTCAAGGGGTGCCGAAGGCTCCTCACCCACTGCTGATCTCGCGGTGCATTCCGTTACGAAGTCTGCCAGGGCTTGGCCCTTGATGGCAGGCCTCGGGCGGATATCTATGTTATATTGGCTGAGGAAGATGGCCCATTTCACCATCCGAGAGGAGCTAGTGGGACTCCTCATGAGGGCGCCGAGGGGTTGATGAGTGAGCACCTGGACTGGATGAGCTTGAAAGTAGTGGCCAAGCTTCTTGACGGTCCAAACGATGGCTAGCACCGTCTTCTCGACGGGAGAATACCTGAGTTCGGCCTGCCGGAGGGTTTTGCTGACGTAGAAGATGGCATGTTGGATGCCGTCTTCCTCTCGGATCAGCACTGAGCTGATAGCCGCGGGGCTAACACCGAGATATAAGTATAAAGTCTCCCCCACCTTTGGTTTGGAGAGCACTGGGGGAGAAGAGAGGTACTTCTTGAGTTCGTCGAAGGCCTCTTGACACTCAGATGTCCATTGAAAGCCCGCCGTCTTCCTCATGATTTGGAAGAAGGGGAGGGCCCTCTCGGCTGACTTAGAGAGGAATCGGTTGAGGGCCGCCAGGCGACCCGTCAGCCGTTGAACTTCTTTGACGTTGCGTGGAGGCTCCATGTTGATGATGGCCTGAATCTTCTCGGGGTTGGCCTCAATACCCCTTCGGCTGACCATGTAGCCCAAGAACTTTCCTCCCTGCACGCCGAAGGTGCACTTCTTTGGATTCAGTCGGAGGTTGAATTTTTGCATGATGGCGAAGATTTCCTGGAGGTCCTCGGCGTGAGTGCCGGCCTTCTTGCTTTTGACAATCATATCGTCAACATAGGCCTCCATAGTGCGCCCCAAGACGGCTTGAAAGACTCTGGCCACCATTCGGGTGTAGGTGGCGCCTGAATTCTTGAGGCCGAAGGCCATCACAAGATAACAGAAGATGCCTTCGGCCTTCGGGTGTCATGAAGGCAGTTTTTTCAGCGTCTTCCTCATGCATGTAGATTTGATGATATCCGCGGAATGCGTCGAGGAATGACATAATCTCGCATCCCGCGGTCTCATCCACAAGTTGATCAATGTTCGGCAGAGGGAAGGGGTCCATAGGGCACGCCTTATTCAGATCTGTGTAGTCCACGCACATGCGGAAGGTAGGAGGTTTTTGTGCGAGGACTACATTAGCCAACCAAGAAGGGTACTTCACCTCCTTAATGTGTTTGATGGAGAGGAGCATAGACACCTCTTTCTTTACGAACTCCCTTCTCTCGGCTGAGAGGGGTCTTCTCCGTTGCTGTACCGGTTTGGCCGAAGGGTCCACCGCCAGGCGGTGAGTGATAACCCTTCGGTCAATTCCTGGCATATCCTCCGGCCCCCATGCAAAAACAATGGAGTAGGCGCGGAGGGTCTTGGTGATGTCAGCCTTCAGGTCTTCGGGGAGCTTGGCTCCAATCTTCAGGACTCTCTCCGGCTTGGCCGGATCGAGTATCAAGTCTTCGGTGTCCTCGGCAGGCTCAGCCCTCGGCCTACTTTCTTCTTCCTCCAAGGCCTTGGTGGTGATGGTGTCCACACGTAACTCTGTTTTACTAACCTTCTTGGTAAGTTGAAGGTAGCAGGCCCTGGAGAGTTTCTGATTCCCCCTCGAATATCCGATGCCGGTGGGTGTGGAGAATTTGAGGCAGAGGTGTCTCATGGAGATGACGGCTTCTAAGTCCTCGAGGGCAGGCCGGCCGAGGATGATGTTGTGTGCGCAGTCGAGGTTGACGACGACGAATTCCACTTCGAGCTTGGCTCTATGGGATCCGTCGTCGAATTCGACCATGAGTGTGATGACGCCCTCGGCGTCTATGCTATCCCCTGTGAATCCGGAGAGGGGGGTGTTGATGTACCGAAGGGACCCCCTATCGAGTCCCAACTCTTGGAAAGTGTTGAGATACATGACGTTGACAGAACTCCCCGTGTCGACGTAGGTCCGGTGGATGATGGCGTCATTGATCTCAGTGCGGATGACGAGGGCATCCCTATGCGGCAGGGAGCCCGAGGGGAGGTCCGCATCTGTGAAGAAGATGGGATCCGCCCTCGGCCTTTTAGTAGGGGGCATGTGATTGACCTCCCCAATGTAAAGGGACTGTGCCCACTTCTTCCTTTGGCTTGCTGAATCGCCTCCGGTGTTGCCGCCGTTGATCATATGAATATGGCGTTTGTATTGTTGATGGGAGCCCTCTCCCTCGTCATCGAGGCCCCCAATTTCGCGCTTCTTCCCCTGTGGGTTTCCCAAGGGGATGGTGTTGGGGTTCACCCATTTGTTTGCCTTCGGCGGAGGCCCTTGATGATGAGGGGGGCCCTGGGGAGGAGGGCCCCTGATAAACTGAGATAAGTGGCCTGCCTGTATCAGCCTCTCAATTGCATTTTTCAGTTGGTGGCAGTCGTCGGTTTTGTGCCCATGGTGGCGGTGAAAGCGGCAATATGGCTCATCAGGGCCGATGGCATAGATCTCGAGGGGTGTACGGGAGTCTCGCTCAACGAGCCCCCGTTCTTCTGCATGATCAAGAATGACGCTGACCGGATGCGTCAAGGGAGTGCGTGGGTGCTCAAGGAGGACGGGTTGCGCCCATGCCTTCGGGTTGTTTTTGTAACCGCCCCCGGTTCTGGCTTGGCCACCTCGGGGGCGATCATTATATTGAGCCTCGCGGTTGGCCGGAGGAGGAGGTCCTCCGGGCCGATTCCTGCCCTCATTCTTCTGAGAAGGATCCGTGTTGCGGCGGTCCTTCTCGATTTCCTCCGCCTCAGCGTATCGGTCCCCCCGCTGAAGGGCCTTTGTATAATCGCGGGGGGGATCAGTGATAAGGCTCCGGGAGAAATTACCGTTGCGGAGGACGGTGTGGAAGAGGGCCATTAGTGTCCTGTCATCAGCGCCTTCGACCTCGAGGGAGGCCTGCCTCCAGCGTTCTAGGAAACTCCGAAGGGTTTCCTCCTTTTGTTGTCTCACGTTCAGGAGGTGGGAGAAGTGCTTCTTTGAGCGATGCCTCCCAGCAAATTGCGTAAGGAAGCGGTGGGCAAGTTCTTGCCAAGAGTCAATGCTGCCTTCGGGCAACCGGTTGAACCACTCATACGCGGGTCCCTCCAAGGTGGAAAGGAACCAACGACATAAATATTCATCCGAGGCCCCCATCATCATCATGCTATTTTGATAGCGGCTATAGTGTTCTTGGGGATCCGTCTTCCCCTCATACGGCTTGATGGGTTGCCCCCGATATTTGTGGGGGATTTTGGCCGCCAACACCCTTGGGGTGAAGGGTGTTCTAGTGCGGAGTTGAATGAGGGGCTCGCCTGAGCCTTCGGCGAGCTTACGCTTCATTTCCTCCACTTGCGCCCGGAGGTCAGCGTACTCTGGATCTGGCCTCGCTGTGGAAGCCGTCGGGGGTGCCTGACGATTCTCCTCGAGTTGACGGAGGAGGGCTTCAATGATTTCGTCCTTGGGATCCTTCGGGGCAACCCCTTGGGAGTTGGCCCGGAAGGATTGCGCCTGTGTGATTTGGTGCCTGGCATCATTGGCATGGAGGAGGGCTTTGCCTTTGCTTCGGGGGGGAGGCACGCCCTCGGCCCCCGAAGCGGAGGCACCACTCTCCTGTGGCCTGCTGAATTCTTGCTTGCCGAGGCGGTCTTGGACCCCTCGGCGTCCGGGAGCTCCCCCAAGCCTCTCAAGTGCAGAGGTCCGGGGTTTCTCCCTCATCATGGGGCGCTTGTCCCTGGATTGAGCCTCCTGGGAGGCGGTATCCTGCGCTATGACCCCCTCGCGGTTGCCAACCCCCGGAGGAGGGTTATTGAACAAAGGAGGGAGTGGTGGTAGGTTGATAACATTCCCTCCCGCATAGGGCTGAAGGGGTGCCTGAGAGGCGAGGGCTCCGGAATTGAGAGCCATGTTTTGAACAAAGGCCGCAAAGGCAGCTTGAAGATCGATGGCCGAGGCCGGAGGAGGAACTTGGTTCTCACTCCGATCCCTCCTTCGATTATCAAGGCCAATGCGGGCATCAGGGGTGTTCTTCTGCAGCTGCTGACGTAGGTCGGCGGTGGCTTGCTCTAATTCGAGGATGATACCGCCCTCGGGTACTAAGAGCCTGTTGGAGGCCTCAGCCCCGTTAGTTTCGCCGGGGGCTACGTGGTTCTCCTCAAGGGTTCTGGATTGGGCACGGGTGGTTCTTCCCATTTTTGGTGAGTGTTTTGTGTTTGGTAGAGGGGGAGGGTTTCTTACTTGATAGTTCAGACCTCTCAACGAGAGCACCAAATGATGGATAGTCTACCCGGGGGGTATCTTATCCGAAGGGTTATTGCGGCAATAACTTAGAGAGAAGTCAGAGCAAATAGGAGGAGAGAGAGTCGATTTATTAAATGAACTCAGCGTGTGTAGTTGAGATGTAGATGATGATTTACAAGGAGAAATGGGCTGCTATTTATAGCAGCAATAAATGCGATGAGAGGACACGTGTCAGTAATCCAACGGCCGAAGGGTCACATCAGCCTGGTGGCACTGGCAGTGGTACGTCAACCGCATTGAATGCGGTTGGCGGATGCGACGCGGCATTAAATGCGGTGGTTGGCTGTCTCTAAAAGGAATCTTCGATGATTGAGTTTGTTCAGCCGAAGGCTCCTTGTGTAGCCGAGGGCTCCTTGTGTAGCCGAGGGCTCCTTGTGTAGCCGAGGGCTCCTTGTGTAGCCGAAGGTTTGGTTCAGCCGAAGGCTTCCCCTGATGCCGAGGCATGAGAATGCCGAAGGCTCATGTCCTCGCCCGTTTTCTCCCAGCAGTTTCTTATGCCAGAGAAGGCTATCCTGTGAGTTTTGGAGCCTTCGGCCACCTTGGCCGAAGGCACCCCAGTGCGTATTCTGGGCTACTTTGAGGCTTGGGCCGTTGTATTTGGGCCTGAGTTGTTTCCTGAGCTCAATGGACTTGTGTAGGAGAAATAGGAGTCTATGGGCCGGGGGTCCCTGGGCCATATACTCCATCAGATTATTTCATTAATATACATTTAATTAACCACATGCTACTAACTTGATGTGATAAAATTTAACATTACCAATAGTATTCTCATTTTCATATTACTGTGCTTGAATGCAAGGGCATTTGAACTAAAACAACACTATTTGGCAGAATACCAATTTTGAGCACATTTAGCATCAACAGATAGTCCAACTCTTAGAATATTCTTTCCATCGAAGGGTTTGGACATACAATCAACAACAATACCCTTTGCTTCCTCTGCTGATTCGGTCGGCCCTTCAAGAATTACTTCATCGTGAACCTAATCACACATTATTGAAGCAAAACATCAAAAACACAAAACATAGGTGTGAAAGCAATTTAAGTTTCTAATAATCTGGATGAATCAATCCTCAGGTAATAAAACATTGATGATTATACATAGCAACTATTCAATCATGTTACATTGAGAGTAAAATGGTAAGAAATGGGGAATATAGTAGAAAAATGGTAATAATGGCTCCTATGCTAGAAATAGGAAGAAAATATAATTTGATTAAAATCTTCTTTGAAACTTTACATATAATCGTATATAGATTTTTTTGTCTTTATAACAGAACACTAAATAAATAAAAATGACTTTGCAAATATATTCTTATTCTCCCATTTAAATTCTCTTTAAATTTTTCCTCGCTAACATATTCCAGACATGTTGCGTGTTCCAAACAAACCCTAAGAGCTCTCTTTACTTTAAAGGGTAATGGAAACCTGTAAAAGCAGTTTCCAGCCAAGCTCCTTCAACCGTTGGTTCTTTGATATTTCTAGCATGGCACACATTGCAACATCTGCAGCACTTCCCTGTGGAAGCAAGAAAGAGACGGTGCATGTAGAAAAGATTACTGTATTGTTATTGTTAAATAGAACAAATATTAAATAAACTACCATTTTCAAATAATTTTTCTAAAAAAATTATTCCTCATCACTCCAGTAATCCAAACACAACTTTTTGATAATATGCACATCATTTTCCTCAACACTTCTCCTCCCCTCACATCCCTCCTTCTGAAGGGTAAAAAAGGCAAACACAAAAACCTGGACAGGAGTATTGATGGCAGCTCGTTCAATGTGGCCTTTAAAAGCATTGGTTGCATGTTTAAGTGAAGGGAACAAGCGTGTCCGTCCTAACAGTGTGTAAACACGTCCAAACTCGTGTGCTTCAGATTTACGTTGTTCTTGCCAAGTTAAAACTTCCTTCCTGTCACTATACCACCGATCTACTGTTTCTTTGGCTTCCTTGACAGATACCTGTGTATGTTTTGTTGGCGTTAATCCAGTTGCACAAACCACATCAAGTAGAAAAATGCATCTCTCTTCGTGCTATTAAGAAGGCATGGATGGATACCTTCCAATCCCGAGCAAGCCCCACAGTAGTTTTTCCATAAGCAATAGAAAAATTAAGCATCTTTGCTTTTCTTCTTTCAGAGGCAAAAGCATCCTGAGACAATGACAATGACAATGACAATGACAATGACCATCTTAATGATAATGATAATGATAATAATAGTAGTAAATATCACCATAATGCTACCACTATCAAGATTCAAGAATCCTGAAAAATGCACACTAAAGAATACAACCTATCAAAATACTTTTCGATGGCCATCCCTCTCAAAAATTATAACCATTAGTAAGTGCTAACTACATCAAAATAAAGTCATATGACTCATATTTGACCAATGTATAACTTTTTAATTTTGGTATGGTACATATGATATTTGTACAGTACAACTATCATAAATCATGAATCAAATTTATATGTTGGTGCAGCTAAACTCAATTTACCATATTAAACGCAACATTAGTTTCAGTAATTGAAGTGAGCCTTTTTTCATCAAAAAAAATATTAGAAACTGACTGCTTTTGGACATCGTGAGCACAACAGCATGTATTGGCGTATTGCCACTTTTTCCAGCCACAATATCACTACAATATTTTACATTTTATCTCTAACAATAAGGACGTAAGTGTGAGATTTGGATCCACATATCATGTCAATACAGTACATTCTATCTCAGCCAAAAACAAGGGAGTGCAGTTCATAGAAGATAGAACAGACAAGAATTGAAAATGCCTCAAAGAGTAAAAGAAAAACCAAACTTTTTGCACTAACCTTTAGTAGTGGAACTGGTGGCATATCTTCACCAGGCTGAGGGTGCCACTCAAGTAGAACACGTTTTTGTTCAACTGCTTCTCGTATGTGCGAATACATATTTAAAGCTGTTCTCGAATGGAAGTCTCCCCCAGCCTTAAAGGCAGCTAACATGCTCTCACAATTTGCAAGATGTGCAAGAATCCTAAGCTCCAACTAGGTAACAGAAGGAAAAAGTAAATAGTTGTGGAACAAAAAGGATAATACAATTTTGTACTATTAAACACAGTTAAAAGTCATAATGATTGCTTACCTGCCCATAGTCTGCAACAATTAAGGAATTCCCAGGTGAAGCTATAAACGCTTGACGGATTTTATACCTGTCTTTTTCCAAAGCTGGCTGGTTCTGCGTTACAGGAAAATATATTTAGTACTTATGTAAGTAGAAACAGATATTGGTTCCCAAGAGAAATGTGTTTTTTTGGTATTGCCAATTCACACTATAAGATGAGATTACTGGGATGCAAATTGTAGAATTTTGTTGGAAAACATTTTGAAGAGTTAACAGAAACTCAACGCATGGTTGTTGAGCCCTCTCCCCTCCCCCAAAAAGGCATACTTCATAAATTTGCGGGAAACTCATGCAGGATATATCAAATTCAAAATGCGCACTGAGGTCTTTTGCATAATAGAAACAGTAATCCAATAAGATTGGAATCTGATGCATGTAATACCTGCAAATTTGGTCTCCTAGCTGACAAGCGCCCAGTTTCTGTATTTATGTTCAGTGAACAATGGATGCGTCCATCCTTTCCTGAAACCGCCCCTCCCTTGAAGAGAGAAAACAGCACCAAGAATCAATCACTTCAATTTATAGAATCATATATGGGTTGCAAAGTCAATCATTAATCTAATTATCAGGTACAACCGCCGTACAAATTTCTCAAGATAGGAGTAAAAGCAAGGGTTTTCACTAAATACGAGGACTATGTGTCCCCCCCTAAATCGGAGTACAGTACTGTCATCCTGAAATCATATAGCAAATTTGCAATATCATGGTATTATCAGGCATTAGAAAAATGGAAATATGATGTCAGTATGAAAGTATGACAATACTTGCACCTATTTTGGGTAATTTCTTAAAAATAACCACTTCTGGGGCATTGGGGTGCAAACTAAAAGCATTCAAAAATGGGGTGTGAAGTCCCATTCAAAGTAAACATGGGATGCAAACTCAAACTTCCCCTTTTCTCTTGGCACAATGATAAATTAGTACCACAGAAAATCACCTGCAAAGGGATGATGAAGTTTGATATTAGAGAGTCAATGGAGCATATTTGACATAAAGAGGCAATGGCATAACATGCCTCTATGCCTTCTTTTCCACCTCCAAAAGCATTATAAGCTGTTCCATACCCTGAAGCTTCTGGCTCCGTACATGTTTCATTATGAAGCCCAGGAGATTCGTCACTGCTTGGAAAGAACACTTCCTCCTCTTTGTCATCTGCTTCGCTCATGATTTGAAAATCAGCAGAAACTTTACCAGCAAGAGCTTTTAAAGCATCTCCACTAACAGATGGCCAACCACTAGCAGTATAGAAATCAGTCTCGATGTCATCACCAATCTTATGAAGTGTGATCTTACAATACTTTGTTGGAGCCTTCTTGTCTTTTTCAATTATATTATCTGCATTCAGAACTTTAAAATCCTTCTCAATGTCAAGAGTCTGATTAGGGTCCTTCCTGTATGTGAAAGGGATGAGAACAAGACAAGAGAAGAAGAAAAGGAAAAAACCAAGAGAAGTTAATACAAGATCAATTAATTAATTAACACCTAAAGGGAAAAAAATGAATAGAAGTTGTAGAGCTTGTTTGGTAGCGTCGTTCAGCTTATGCTGCTCATCAGCATAATAATCAGAAAAGTCAAGCATAATACTTGGAGCTTTTAACTTTATTATTTGGCTGAAATGGATTTTACTGAACACTATTTCTTTCAGAATATTAAGCAATTTCAGCCAAATAACATCACCCAACAGGTCTGTCACATACTCTGTTATCAACAGTTTTATTTATTTTCATGAAGGCCCATACCTATTCAGAATACCTCCAAAAAAGAGCTGGCGCAACTGAGTATCACTGCCCACATTCATGTATTTTGCATCAGGGCAGTACTTGGATGCCCAGTTGCGAAATCTGATAGATGATATCTCCTGCTCGGCTTGGGCCACTTTCTGCAACTCAGCAAGATAAGAACGATCAACAAGCACGCCCTCAGTTTCCATACGAACCAAAAGCTCACCAAATGGAAGCCAGTATCTCTCATAAAAGTTTAGCATGGTCCCTTTATAAACTCCATCAAGCATCCAGACCCCTTTAGAGAGTTTGGTTTTCAAACTATCATAAAGCATCAATGTACTTATAGCATCGAATGCAGAGTAAGAAACCCATAGTTTGTGATTCTCTCTTTGCAGCTCCTCAACAGATGGAATGATATCAACTTTACCCTCAGTTCCATCTTTCTTCAGCTTTTTCCTGCCAAAAATAGTTTTCATTGACACCTTACCAAACAGTTGTTCAGCAGGGGGCACCGGCACACTTGCAGCACGCATGACAGATTTATCACTTGTAAGTGCCTCAAGAGAATAGCCTCCCCCTGTTCGTCTAGAGGAATCCCATAATCGTGCCATGTGCATTGTATCAGCATAAAACCCAGACACTTTGAGACCATAGTTCTCTATTATGTGACAATCAAAGCTATAGTTGTGCCATACCTATGGAAAGCATGAGTCACTTTTTCATACAACTACGCAAGTGCTAACAGTGAAATAAGGTAAAAGGATATTCCTACTTACATTTAGATTTAAAAAAATCAACTTTTAGTTGTACAACTATTTGACCAAATGGTCAATCCCATTTTTGGCCACCGGCTTCCATGTTCTCGGCTTTCAGTGCAAAACTATAAATTCTTGAGCTTTTGTTCCTTCTGACCATATATCCAGCCAATTTCCATACAATTTTATGTTACTTTTTGCTAATGGTTACCGCCCTTACCGGAAAGGCCAAAAGTGATAAGAATTCATATTCTTGCACCAAATGTGAAATAAATGAAACTAGGGGACCAGAAGTGGGAATAACTTAATAGTCATGAGACTAAAAGTATACTGTTTTCTATAAAAACCAAGAGGACAAAATGAAAGCAGAGCATTTTAGCCAACCAGAACCATTTAAGAAATCCGAGAGAGCTACCGATTATACATATTTTACCTTTTTAATTGACGGGTCTTCGAAAAAGGGGGCAAATTCTACTAAAATGTCCTTCCCGCCACCATCAAGGACATCAATCCAGACACAAGATTTTCCATTTCCAAAATCAGCATGAGATCCAGAATAAATGCTGAAACATATGATTTCTCCATGACCAACTGGTGTCTCATTCTTGACATCAATCTTTGCTACCTATTAATTGTTAGCAAACTGATGAATAAGATATAGTTACTAGCATATTTTTTATGTTTTTTACGTGGGACAAAACATAGTCAACTTCACAGACACAGCACATTTTGTATATTTACAAAAACAACAACTCTTTTTTGCATATAATAATTGTGTGGGGGAAACATTGATGCAAAACAAGCAGCACACATGCCTCAGTATCACATGCGTGGATTGAATCCCTGTACTCATTTGTAAGCTTACTGACAACTTCCTTGGCGAGTGAGATGTTGTTGACTATGAAAACTTTCTCATAAATGGAAACCAACCTCTCACGGAGGTTGTCCTTGGTAATGATCTTTTCTGAGGCAGTAACTTTTTCCAGCTGAGACTGGTCTGATCCAACCAAATCAGCAAAGTTGCTTTCTGTTTTCTGAGTTGGAATGCCTCCATCTGGCAACCTCTCACAAAGGTTGTCCTCGGTAATGCTCTTTTCTGAGGCAGTAACTTTTTCCAGCTGAGACTGGTCTGATCCAACCAAATCAGCAAAGTTGCTTTCTGTTTTCTGAGTTGGAATGCCTCCATCTGGCAACCTCTCACGAAGGTTGTCCTCGGTAATGCTCTTTTCTGAGGCATTAACGTTTTCCAGCTGAGACTGATCTGATCCAACCAAATCAGCAAAGTTGCTTTCTTTTTTCTGAGTTAAAATGCCTTCATCTGGCAACCTCTCACGAAGGTTGTCCTCGGTAATGCTCTTTTCAGAGGCAGTGACTTTTTCCGGCTGAGACTGGTCTGATCCAACCAAATCTGGCATAAAAGTTTTCTCCAGCTTCTTTTCTTTTGCTTTCGATGTCAATAATAACTCAGTCGGAGGCACGACAGGAGATAATGTTAAACTGCCAACCTTGTTATTTGACATCAGCCCAGTGCATATTAATGGTTTGGAAAAATGGACTCTAAACTGTACATCTTCAGCAGTAAGGTAACTACCATTGCATATTCTGTCTTGTCTGATTGCTTCAGCCGCAGCTCCCCAGGCAGCGCGAGCTGCTCCATAATCTTCCTCAATTCTCTGTGTGGTTGTACTAGAGAACGGTCTTATTTCTTGTCTAGATGTACGCGTAATCTTACAGGAATCACCAAGTATGGCTAAACTAGATAATGCAGTAAAGGCGCTCATGGTTTTGCAATCTTCTCCCCTGCATATGAGATGAATTGTGATAAGAAAATTTCAGTGGGCAGTTCATGGTATTCAAAGTTTCAACCACTCCCAGATGAACCATATGATAAAGAAGTTAGCAGTGATTGTTATGTCAAAAAAACGAAAATATAGGAGCTTCAACTGGCTTGGGGACCCTAGATCCACAACTCAACCTACTTTACATCGATTTGAGCTTCTTATATCCACTCCCAGCTCACCATGGGGCAGTGTCCAGCTCAGTATCAGTACTATATTTTATAGACAACTATTTCATCATTTCATGAATACTTACTAATCATACACACACACTAACTTCAATATAGCATTGATTATTCAAATGTAAATTAATACAAAACGGAGTATTGGTTTAAAAAATTTAGACATTTATGTAAGAGTATAGTTTCAAATTATATGAGAATCAGATTATTATACTACATAATTTTTAACTTTTATTTATAATAACGTTTTAATTATTTTACACCATTAGTTTAAATATCACTTTGTATTTAAACAAATGATAGTAATTATCAGATAAAGAGTACAAACACATACGATGTAAAAAATAAGGAGAGATTCCTCACTGAAGCATATAGTTGACCACTCAATTTGTTTCCAGACAAATCCCTACATATCAACATTGATAAACCTGATTCACACATTAAAAGAAATCATACACTTGTGACAAACAGTAAAGTGTGTGAATACTTTCACTTCCCAAATCTATTCATGCATGCATTTTCCTGTTAAGTAAATTGGGTAATATGATGCATTCTAAGGAACAGAATCCCAGGGAAGGAAAAGTTCTTTGTGTGTCTTGAGCACAGTAAAGGAAAGGCATCATAACTATTACTGTTTCCTGTTGAAATCAAAATGTAATAGTAGATCTATGAGTTAATTTGACTAAATTAGTTATAATTATTTAGTACCTAGTTTGTAGCTAAAACTGTAAACATATTTTGAATATTCTCTGTCGAACATATCTAAATAAACCTTACAAGTTTTTATATTGCTCACTAACAATAACATCCAAGTTTTTTACTGTAGGTCATTTCCTTCTTCCAGTGATCCACTTGTTGATACGTCTCAGACATGCATTAGTCCGAGCCTCACATTGTCAAATCTTATGTTAAGCAACTTATTGACCAAAGAATGTGGCAATGTGCATAGGGGTCTATCTCTATCATTTAATTGAGCATTTGAGTGTGATGCTGTCTTAAATAGTCTATCAAATTCACATGAAGTAAAAAGCATGCCATGAGACCCCCAACAAATAAGATAACACAATTTCCCTATTTTTAACAAGTTTAGGGTGACACAGTCATTCAAACAGGCAAAGAATCGTAACATTCTGCATACTTGAACTATTGTGTTACTAATTAATACTCCGTACTATGTATCAAGTTTAGTAAAATAAACCCATTTCTTTATGATCCCTCAAGGTATACATCTCTGTGAATAGAGTTTCTATATCAAAGGGCTAGTGGGCTACATGAGTCTTTTAACCTCTATTTCATATCAAAGTATTTTAAGCTCCCTCAAGGAATGTCATTCCTTGGTAGCCACTAACCATTGCCCCAAGCCCCCAACGGGGGGGATGCACTTGCATAAACAACCTGGTCTATTCTATGAGTCTAGTGCTTTATTTCTGATTTGAGCCAGTTCTTTTTATTGAAATTAAAACCATAAAAATTTTGTAGAATTTTCATTTTTTTAAACACCAGATAGATGAAGACTAAAAATTGCTGAATCAACTGCTCCACAATACCTATATCTACAGTTGTGGCAATAGGTGTGTGATTGGGAAATATTCCAATTTGTCCACTATTAGTGGATAGTGTATATTACAACAAATGCTTTTGTGGCATTGCAATTCAACTACAACCCAAAATTAAAAATGCAATGGATAGAGCAAAATATCAGCCCTTTTTTACGTTTTCCAGTAAGGGTTGCAATGAAATGTGGAAAACAGGGTAGCTTCTCAATTACCGAGAAATGTGGAGAACTAGTTTCTCTTAGTTCTTTGAGGTTGCTTCTCAGTTGCAAGGCGAAAAATCCAGTAAACCTGCATTAAAGGAAACACAGGGAAAATCATTAAACGAAAGTAAGAAAAAACGGTGTGAAGGAGAGCGCGTGTTGTACTGGGTTGGGGTACCAGAGCAATGACATGAGCGACAATTAGGAAGAGGAGCAGTAGAGAGCCGGCAGCCATTGGCCACGACTGACCGCTTGAAGTTGATGCTTGCGGGTTCGCCAGTTTGGAAATAAAAAAAACGCAGTTCTCTTAGTCTTATCAGGCTTGGTGGATAGCAGCGCCGCCGTTCACTTCCACCGTTCTACGGCTGCCGGCCTGCGCTTCATTTGACTTCCCACCGTTTCTTCTGTTGGCAAGTGCGGCTACAGAGGGATACGGGCAAAGGGCTGAGTGCTATGAGTCTGTATACTACGGTCAGAAGTGGAAGCGGCGAAGACTAGAGATGGAATTTGACGGAATATGAGAGACAGGGCTGAAGAAAAACATAAACTTATGGAATCGGTCAATCGGGTAATGTTTCTATACTTACATTTAATTTTATTTATGAAAAATTTTACTCCCTCCGTTTCCCAATTAACTTCTCACTTTCCTTTTTGGGCAGCCCTTAAATTAAGTTCATGCTTCAATACTTTCCTTATTTGGCAAATAATCTACATCAAAACAATGTCAAACAGTGCCAAACAGTGTTTAAAACGGTGCCAAACAGTGTCCAAACAGTGCCAAACAGTGTACTCTACAATAAATTTAAATTTATTTTCTTAAAACTTTTGAAGTCAAACACAGAACTTAATTGGGGGACGGAGGGAGTAATTTACTTACTCCTTCAGTCCTTCCATGCCCCGAAACAACTTCCCGGTCTGGCTTTCACACATATTAAGGAAATAAACTTACCAGGGGTAAATTTTACTGTTTTGGCACTGTTTCGACACTGTTTGACACTATTTTGATGTAGAACTTTCCATTTAAGGAAATGAGAAGTTAAATTATGGATATCCAAATAAGTAAAGTGGAAGTTGTTTTAGGTACTTTGTTACGAAACTTTGAACCCATTTGGTGTAGTATTTTGATGTAGTATTTTGTTACGAAACTTTAAACCCGTTTGGTAGCACGAAAATCGGCTCATTTGGCTGATTCTGTTGAAATTTATGAAGTTCTGGTTGAAGTGGCTGCAATGGTTGATTCTGCTGATTTAAGAAAAAAAATGAAATATATTTATTAATAAAATAAAGAAAATATTATATGTAAAAATAGCTGAAATTGTCATCTACAGTAACTTCGGCCAAAATGTGATTGGGTTACCTTTCACCTTTGAATTTTATCGACCCAAAATGTGAAAAAATAGATTAACAAATCATGAACTTATAATTTTCTTATTTTAAAAATATTAAAGTATTTAAATATTATTCAATTTTAGATGTTTGATTAATAGCTTTAGAGCCATTTGATGACATTGTTTTCGAATTATCAACCTTGTCAATCACAATTTTCATCAAAGATGTATTTTTAGACTTCTAGGGTGTTTGGCAATTGGTTGTTTGCTATTAGCCGTTGGCTGATTCTGTTGGCTGATTGGTAATAGCTGATTCTGTTGACTGTTTTGATTTGCAGATAGTATTAGCTGTTTATAAAATAGTGTTTGGTTAAACGGCGATTTACAATCGGCTGTTAACTCCTTAAATTACTTTTAAGGACATCATTTATTTGTTTCATTTGTTTCAGAATTACTGATTTGTCATATTGAAAAAGATAAATCCAAAAGAAAATTAATGTGAAGGGAGAACAATACGGCAGAGAAATTTCAATAGTTTGGTGTAGGAGAAGCATCTCCTGTTGAAGAAGGCTTTAATTTGCTCCCCTGTTTTGTTTTTGCGTAAGATGTGGTAGATGACAATAGGCCTGGGACCGGTTCGATTCTTAAATAAAATTGGAGGAACCATTAAGAAAAATGGAACTCTTAAAATCGGTTCGGTTCTAGTAAAAAAAATATAGAACCGTTAAGGAACCGAATCAAATCCAATCGGTTCGGTTCTTGCTTTTTATCGGTTCCTAAGACTACAACAATCCTTTAATAATAAATCTTCATTCAACGTTACATCACATGAAACATCAATGTTTAAATATTAATTAAAAATTGAAAACTAAACAAAAAATCAGTATGTTCAATACATAATTAGAATATGTTAATATGATTCTAATGGATTGACAAGGACGCTTGTAGATACCCAAAGTGACCAGAATTGATAGCCAGCTTCAAGTAATTCAATCCTGAAATCATTTAAAATTGAGTTAATTGACATTTAATAAAACAGTGGTAGTAAGATATCATTATTCAATCCTGAAAAAGTAAGAAAGGGTTCGTAAACAGGCTATTTCCTTTCAAGTTTCTCTACACATGACACATCCATTAGTTTTCAGTTTCTTTGTTTTGTTGATTGCATTCAAGGCCAATTTTTGATTCAATGCTATACATACAAATAAAGTATATATATACCTGGAACGAGAACACTAACAAACAAATATACAACTGATTGTTTTTCATTTTACTGAAATGGAATCAATCATCCCATACTTCACACCCCATGAAAAAAATAAAATCAGCTCATAAATATTCTATCTGCAACAAAATCAAAATCTGAAAAATCCCAAAATCGAGCGACCAGACATATACATCATAACATTAAAGCTTAATCCAAAAATACCTATTCATAAGCCAAAACTTAACAATCTGAATCAACGAAAGTAAAAAAGAAAGCAATATAAAATAGATAATTTACATATGGGAAAACAAAAATTATAAAGGTCTGGTATATAAAGTATTTTTAAAGTCATTTGAATTAGAAGGAATCTGTGGGAAGATTTTGATATGAGAGAGTCGTATGTTGTTTACAATCGTATTGTACTAGTTTTTGCGTTTTTATTTTTTAAATCTCAATCACTATGGGTGAGTCGGATCTGCTTGCTGATTTAAAAGAAAAATTAAGAAATTAGATAGCTTGTAATTCATATATGTTGCCTTTACCTTCTCTCCCAACTTGACACGAGGTTGCAGTGTAGCACCGGAGAAAAACCCCAAAACAAGCAGGAGCTTCACATCAGAAGAAATGTCGCTGACCTGAAGAAGAAGGCAAGACTTTGTGGTTTTTCCGTGAGCTACAAAAGTTTGAACTAAAAAATACAGATAGAGATGCTTACCTATCTATAATATCTCCTGTGAGGAAGCCATGGAAACCATTGAAAGATGAGGGGATATGAGCAAAATAGCAGAGAAGCTGAGATGCTAGGGTTCTCCTCTTAATGCTACGGATAGTGAGTGGGCTAATGGTTGAAGAGTGGAGAACTTTGACTAGTGGGCTAATGGGTTGACGGAATAAGAATAAGTGGAATAACCCACTAGTTGTCTAACTTTTAAAACTTAAGAATGAATTGTGAGTTACCGGTTCCATGTCGGTTCTAAGCATTTTTTTTATAACAAACCGGGAACCGAACCTGTATTAACTAATAGGAACCGAACCGATAATTTTTATAACACTAGAAATAGGAACCGAACCGAACTGTACTATATCGGTTCGGTTCCGGTCATTTTTTCGGTTCCGGTTCCAAAATCCCGGCCCTAGATGACAAGCAAGAAGAGAAGGGATACAGTGCAGTGCGCAGTCCGGATAAAATAGGAATTTGCGATAAAAATTAGAACGGCCAACACTCAAAACGCTAGGTCGATTAGCTTTTTAAAATTTGACTGTTTCAAATAAAAAAATACATGAAAAGGTCAATTAACCAAAGTCCTTCACCCTTATAAGTGGTTTATTTGGTCAAAAGCCAAATAGCAGTCAAATCAGCCAAAAAATGACTGATAGGCTGCTAACCAAACACCCCGTTCGTCCGCTAGGTTGTCTAATACGGAGTACTACGTAATAAGGAAAAGTAAGGCTACATTTATTTTTCTGGTTGTATTGACTGAAGACCTGAAATTATCGAAAATGAATATTTTAGCTACTGTATTTTCCAGTACATTTTTCTTTATATTAATAAATCTAATCAGTCAATCCAATCATTTTAACTAGAACTTCATAAATTTCAGCAGAATTATTTAATGCAGTTGATTTGGGTACTACTACGTATATTAGAAATTAAGAGTTTGTTTGGTAAGCCGGTTTTTCGGCTTGTTAGACTTATCGGTCAACTTATCAAACACGTAACTTTTAATCTCGCACGTTGAATTGTGTAATAATAAGAAAAAGTAAGATTAAAGTTACTTTTATGTCTGTATTGGCTGAATTTATTTTAGATGATCATTTTAACTATTTTTACATATAATTTTTCTTTGTTTTAATAATAAAATATTTAGTACTCCCTCCGTCCCAAAATTATCTTCATAGTTACTATTCACATGGTCAACTCAAATTACTCTTAATCTTTTACTTTATATATCAAATTTTTATCAAACTTAAATTTTCTTGATCAAGTTTTGTAGCGGTTTTAATGTAGTTTCTGAATATGTAAATTTTATTTACTAAAAATATTCCGAGTGTGAACAGGGATCGAGTTGCTTTATCGTCAGTCAAGCATCGTAAACCGAACTATGAAGATAAATATGGGACGGAGGTAGTATATTTTAAAAATATTTTTTTTGTAAATGAGTAGAATCAATTCACTTCAAGCAAAATTTCATAAATTTAATGCCCAACATCCAAATATCAAGTCAAATGTGATTTCTGCAAATGAATTCTATCAAATGTGATTTCAGACTGCAAATGAATTCTTCTAAAGTGTCATTTAAGGAAAGGTTGCAGAAAAAATTAAGGGAACCCTAGTACCAAAAGATCTGAAAATAAACTCCTCCCCAAAATCTACCAAACAGAACAGATCTCACCATTTATCTACCGCTTCTGTCGAGTGTCGAGCTTCCATCTCCGGCTCCCCCTGCGCCCCTCCCCACATTCTGCAGAACAAACCCATTATCACCGAATTCACCCCTGCTCATTTCTTCCAACCCCGACGCTCTTCCTCCGCCTGCTCCGCCTGCTCCGCCTCTCGCCACGCCACTCTGAACTCAGTCCCTCTATCTCCTAGCAGTACCTGAGCCTGTTCTTATCCCCGTCGTATGCAGACTTATCCCGGCCGTCTGCGGTACCTTTGACACCGTACCCGGCTAACCAGATTCCA